GAGAGAGAGAGAGAACGTGCACAAGCAGGGGAGGGGAAGAAAGAGAGGGAGAGAGAGACTCAGAGCACAGGGTCCGCCCTGGGGCTCAACCTCACAAACTGTGAGATCATGACCTGAGCTGAAATCGGATGCTTCACTGACTGAGCCACCCAGGCGCCCCACGATCTCACATTAGAAAGGCTGCATACACTTACCTGTCTTCACAGTAATAAGTAATGGTCGAACCTAAGTTGAAATCTCTTCCCTCAAAATAGCCATGAGCCGGATTCCCAGGAGGGCCACAGTCTCCTGAGAAACAGGAGAACAGGAATGACGGTCATGAGTTATGCTCAGTTAACAGCACCCCTAAGTTTAGCTGTCTATGCGGGATCTTAGGGCACCTTCTCCATTCACTTCCTTCTGGTCAGAATCACGTTTATCCTGGGAGAGACTGCCTTCTCCTGCTCATCCGCTGAGTGATTAGGAATGGGGGAGCGCTTTCTGATTGGCATGAGTTTTGAGGAAAGGAAGTTTAAATTGTAGAGATCGTCAGGGTACGAGAAAAGAAAAATTAAACCAGAGGTAGAGGTGGGACTAGCAACTCCCTAAGAGAGGAGATCAATGGTGGGCGTTCAAATGGAGGCTGACGTTCTCTGTGGGACAGAAGTGTGCAACACGAGAGCTTCAGAAACGCAGGATACAACTGGGAGGAAAGATGAGTCTATAAAATTGTGGAAAGAGAGCTGGACAAAGTGCGAGATGCTGTGAATTTTGGGTTCTGCCTCTTCCACGACCCATGATTTTATCCTTCTCGGTTTCCCTCCTAACCTATGAGATGAGCAGGTTAAACAGAATTATTTAAGTCCCTTTGAGCTCTGAGATTATATACGTCTAAACATGATGATCAAGGTTAAAGGGTGAATGAAGAATAATTACGTAGGTATATATTTATGGAAACATAAATGCCTTCAAACCAAATAGTTGAGTAAAAACAGCAAAGCATAAAAGAGTATGTGTTAGTATAGTACATAGTATGTGATACTATGTATTATAATAATACATACAAATGGAAATGTAATTATAATAATAGCATAAAACGCTATTTTTGTAAAATACACTCATGCATCAACGTATATGAACAGAAAAAAAGCCTGAAAATTATATATCAAAGTACTCTGTTACTTCTGGGTAGTAGGTTTGTAGGTAATTAAATGTTTTATTTTCTGTATTTTTCTACACCACAGACGTTTTCTTTGAGAAGTTAATAAATAATTTTTAGAAGATCAAAAACTGAGTTCAAAAGCTGTATAGAGGAAAGGAAAAAGGATTTCCATGAGTTGATTAAGGAACCCCAGTACAGACAGGGCTCTCCTGGTAACTTTTAAGAGTACAGTTTTCAACTGAAAGAGATAATGTGGATCTTGGGCCTAAGCAGAAAAGAATCTGCTTTACTCGGGGACCTAAGGAGCTTTCTTTAGAATTGGGCAATGAACTAACACAAAAAGACAGAGATCCTGCATTTCAGAGCTAGAATGGGAAATACTGAATTAAAAGAGATTAAAATAAATAAATTCTTTAAACCTGTGTCAGGCTAATAATAATGATGTTATATGCTTGTAATTTAACTGCCTACAGTATATATGTATGTTTCAACTAACCCCTAACTCTTTGAGAGAGGCTACATATAGTTTGTGCTTTTAAACTGCTTATTGGGACACCTGAGTGGCTTAGTCGGTTGAGCATCTCTTGATTTCAGCCCCGGTCATAATCCCAGGGTCATGGGATCGAGCCCTGCATCAGTCTCTGTGCTGAGCATGGAGCCTTCTTAGGATTCTCTTTCTCTCTCCCTCTGCCCCTCTCCTCCACTCACGCTCTCTCTCTTTCTCTATAATAAAATAATTTAAAAAATTAAAAATAACAAAAAGCTGCCTATTATTTTAATAGCTACTGCCAAAATATATCTACAGAATGATATCTCTTTTCCTCACTGACATCAGTGACTAGCCCCTCATATCATGAACGATGTTAGGTGAAATCATTTTTTTTTTATTTACTAATTTGATCAGTAAAACATGTGTATCTAATTTTACTATTCATTTCTGGAATTATTAGTTATATTCATTATCTTTCCATAAATTTGAGGAATATAAATGCTGTTTGGGGGCTAATCTTGGAATTGTCTAGCCTTAAAATTTGCCATAAACCTAGGGGAAGGGAAGCAAAAATGAGATAAAAACATGAGAGAGACAAACCATGAGATTCTTAAATACAGAGAACAAACTGAGGGTTGCTGGAGGGATGTTAGGTAGAGGGATGGGTAAATGGGTGATGAGCATTAAGGAGGGCACTTGTTGGTGTGAGCAATGGGTGTTAAATGTAAGTGATGAATTACTAAATTGTATTCCTGAAATCATTATTACACTATGTGTTAACTAACTTGGATTTAAATTTAAAAAAAAAATAGGGGCGCCTGGGTGGCTCAGTCAGTTAAGCATCCGACTTCGGCTCAGGTCACGGTCTCACGGTTCGTGAGTTTGAGCCCCGCATCGGGCTCCGTGCTGACAGCTCAGAGCCTGGAGCCTGCTTCAGATTCTGTGTCTCCCTCTCTCTCTGCCCCTCCCCTGTTCATGCTCTGTCTCTCTCTGTCTCAAAAATAAATAAAAACATTTAAAAAAATTAAAATAAAATAAAATAAAATAAAAATAATAAAAATAAAAATAAATAAAAAATGGGCCCCAAACCTTAACAGACACCTCATCAAAGAACATATACACATGGAAAATCAGCATATGACAAGATGCTTGACATCATTTGTCATCCGGAAATGCAAATTGAAACAAGGAGATACCATTATACAACCATTAGAATGGCCAGTCTGGAACACTGACAACACCAAATGCTGACAAGGATGTGGAGCCACAAGGCCTCTCCTACGTTGCTGGTGGGAATGCAAAATGATACAGCCACTTTGCAAGACAGTTTGATGGTTTCTTAGAAAAAAACTAAATCTACTCTTCCCATAAGAGCCAACAATCTCCCTCTTCGGTATTTATCCAAAGGAGTTGAAAACTTACATCCACATAAAAACCTGCACCCGATATCTATAGCAGCTTTCCTCATAAATGTCAAAACTTGGAAGCAAGCAAGATGTCCTTCAGGAGGTGATCGGATTGATAAACTTATGGTACATCCGGAAACGGGATATTATTCAACGATAAAAGAGAATTAGCTGTCAAACTATGAAAAGACATGGAGGAACCTTAAATGTATATTTCTAGGTAGAAACAAAGGCAGTCTGAAGAGGCTACATACTATATGATTCCAAATATATGACATTCTGGAGAAGGAAAAACTATGGAAACAATAAAAAGATCAATGGCTGAGATGGACGGGGGAAGTAGAGAGACCAATAAATAGAGCACAGAGGATTTTTAGAGCAGTGAAAAGACTCTGTATGATATTGTAATGATAGATATACATCATTACACACATGTCCGAACCCACTGAATGTAAAACACCAAGAATGAATCCTTAGGTAACTATGGATTTGGGGGGAATATGATGTATTAACATTGGTTCATCCTTGGTAACAACAACAAAAAAAAATAGTACTAATCTGGTGAATGATGTTGACAATGTAGGAGGCTGTGCATATGCGGGGATAGGGAGTGTATGGGAAATCTCTATACCTTCCCCTCGGTTTTATTATGAATCTAAAACTGCTCTAAAAAACTAAGTCTGAAAAAAATTAAGTCTTTAAATAAATAAATCTGTAGTGTTAGATATGTACCCTCCCAAAGGAGATTCCAAACTCAATTTTTTGTTTTATACCTTTAAATTTGAAACTCTTGGGGCGCCTGGGTGGCTCAGTCGGTTAAGCGGCCGACTTCGGCTCAGGTCGTGATCTCGCGGTCCGTGAGTTCGAGCCCTGCGTCGGGCTCTGTGCTGACAGCTCAGAGCCTGGAGTCTGTTTCAGATTCTGTGTCTCCCTCTCTCTGACCCTCCCCCGTTCATGCTCTGTCTCTCTCTGTCTCAAAAATAAGTAAACGTTAAAAAAGAAAATAAAAAAAAAAAAAGAAACTCTGGGTAGAATTCCATTGCAATACCAGTCTGTCCATGCAGGACCATGGTATATCTTTTATTTAAGTCTTATTCCATGTCCTTCAGTAAATTTTCATATAGGTCTCATGAATGGAATTATTTTTACATTTCAATAGTCACATCATAATTATTAGAAAGTAATACTATTGATTTTTCAATATTTATTTTGTGTCCAAGAATGAAGTTTTTTAGTAGAATTTCTTGGATCTTTTAAGTATGTTTTACAAATAAGTGTATCCTGTGACTTACCAATCATTCTAGGAGTCTATCCTACAGAAATAATAGCATAGACATAAAGATATATGTATATGTATACATACATAACATTCGTTTCAGCATTGTTTGTAATAGCAAAAATACAGAAATAGAACAAACGTTCATCAATACTAGAGATATGGAATAACTGATGGTGTATCCACATTATTTTTTAAAAGCAGGAGATAGGAAAAACAAATAAATAAAAGCAGGAGATACAGCCACATATACTGATCGAAAAAGATTCCCATGTATAATGTTACATAAAAAAAAAAATTTAAACAATACATAGCACAAAGTCCCATTTTTGTAAGTGTATATGTGTGTAGATATGTGTGTGTGCATTTGTTTATTTTAAATGTCTGCATAAACGTAGGAAAAGACATGAAACAAACACATTCCTACTAATTTCCTCTGAGAAGTGTGAATTACCATGTTAGAAGGAGGTACTTCTAATATACGTTAGAAGGAGGAGGTACTTTTTTTTTTATTTTTTATTTTTTTGAGAGACAGAGACAGTGTGTGAGCAGGGGGAGTGGCAGAGAGAGAGGGAGACCCCGAGTGCAAAGCAGGCTCCAGGCTCTGAGCTGTCAGCACAGAGCCCGACGCGGGGCTCAAACTCATGAACCGCGAGATCAACACCTGAGCCAAAGTCGGACACTTAACCCACTAAGCCACCCAGGCGCCCCTCAACTCTTATTTTATATAATTTTGCAATGGATGAGATACGGTCCTCTTCCCGTTTTCATGTATTTTTCAAATAAGAACTGTAAGGCGTTATCATGAAACAAACAAACGAACAAAAAAGTCAGATGCCCCAAACTATCCTGTGTTGGACTTAGTAGGAAAGGAATCCTACTTGAGAGGGGAAATAAAGTGTTCATTGTTTGGATGCTGTTTGTTTCACTGGAATGTATCATTTGAGGTGAGTTTTGGCTCTGTGAGCTCCATTTGTTTTCTGGCTTCCTCCGAGATCCCAGACCCTTCCCAGATACAAAAAAATAAAATAAAATAAAATAAAATAAGGGGAAAACATCATTGCAGGGATGTGACAAATGCCTAGGGTGTCCCTCTGGTCAGTGTCTTTGGGTTGGTGCTTGTTTCTCTGACACTTACTGCTTTTGCAGATGGGTAAGGGAGGCATCCAGGTGTGGTCGTTCATGCACTGACTCCAGTTGCTGCCCTGGAGGATATAGTTCTCATTGCACTTAAAAGTGACTTTGTCACTCACATTCACAGGACCTGAGAAACTGGGTTCGCCATTCACCAGCACAGGGTCAGGACAGTGGCCCACTGAAGAAGAAAACAGGAAGTGATCGGAAAGAGCAGGAGAAAGTCCGCCACTGCGGAGGCTAGACCTCCTCAGACTTCAATGAGAGAATAGAAATCAGAACTAAAACTGTACTTTATAACAGGGACTCCTACATGGGACCAAACCGTATCAGTCAGGATGCGAAGGGACTAGGTTGGCCTAAGTGTGGTAGGAAAGGTCTTGGTCATGCACAAGAGTGACAGTTGGCACTTGAACTTACGAAAAGTAACTAAGCACATAACTGGAAATGATCAATGGCATGTTCATCATCCTGGTAAGCGTTGCTGAAAATACTTCACCCTATGCTGGAGGCAAGTTTTTCCCTCCCTTTCCTCCATGAATAGACACATCACTCATCAGTTTGTACTTTGTTTCATTTTGCTTCCCCCCCCCACCCCCCTACCCCTCTGTGAAAAAAACAGGAGAGAAGATGAACTTGCTGGTATAAATACAGGATAAACATTTGGTGTGCTTTACTCTAGGTATCAAGGAGAACAAAGCCAACTATTCCTAAAAATACTAATAATAACGAGGATATTGACCAGTTATTCTCTGTCTCTACAGACACCACAAGTGAGTTTTGTGAATTTGAGCAAATCACTTGGATCTCAGTTCTCACATCTGTAAATTGAGAATATAAATGTTTCCCAGTTCAAAAGTCATATAATGGATGAAATAAAATATGACATATTTACTTCAAAATAATAACCATACAAAACAGAATCGTTGAGAAAAAAGATTAGTTACATGTTGACAATTGTTGAAGCTCAGTGATGAGTGCATATGACCTGATTTTGCTTTTTTGTCTTTTGTATATATTTACAATTTTTATGTTATAGAAATTCTATAAATAGATTTCTATAACATAAAAATTTTAAAGGAGTATGATATTAAATTAGAACCCCCCCCCCAAAGGCAGTTTTAATATATGGTAGAAATTCTTCCCTCCCTGCAGGGGTGATTGAGTCTATTAATTCTATTAATCAACTAATTAAATCAACACTGAGCAAGAGCTGACCATGTACCTTGTAAGAGAAGTTCCACCTTGGGGTGCTTTAAAAATTAATTCCCAGAAGTTGAGAATTTTTGTCTTATAAAGTTTTAAGGCGGCCTGCGGGAGGTAGGATGTGTAAGAGCGGAGCGAGATGACAAGATACACAAAGAAACAAAATTTCAACTCACATTGGCATGTGGGAGTGGGATTATTCCACTCCCCAGAGGCATTGCAAATAAAGGTTTTCTCTCCTACCAGGTGGTAGCCCTTGATACAAACGTAAGTCCCCAGAATTTGTCCCTCGACCTTCTTTGCAACAAATATGCTATATCCCACTGGGGGGAGTTCTGGACAGTTCTCTGTTGGAAGGAAAAAGAAAACAGATTCACTTGGCGTTATCACGTGCTGTGACGAGGCCCCGTTAGACAGCCATCCGAGTGTCCTTTTCCTGGATTATTGATTTTCCTTCCTTGTACAATTCCATGTCCATGTACATCCCCATCCCCCCCTTCCCAAGAATTCCCAAAGTTTTGTTTTCAAAAGGATAACGGGCATTACATTCAATTCAACCATGAAGATACAATTCCCTTTCCAAATAGCATTTCTGGAGTTTATAACAGACAAGACCTCTCGAGATTTTGAAATTGGTACTTTTTGGTACCAAATTGGTACAGTTAACCACCCACTTCATAGAGCAGAATTATCATTAAATATTTACTAAGCCCCTACTGAGTACAGGGCATTAGGCCAAGTCATTTGACATTTTTCAATAAAGGAAATACATTTCATTGACTTAAATTTCATTAAAACCATAGACAGCACGCTTCGTACCCCGCAGGCTGATATCAAGTACCCTAGAAACTAATCTTAAGCATACGCACCGTATGAGGCAGAAATCGGCCACACAACCACAAGATAGCACACAACCCGCAAAAACATCTTGCGATCAGTTGCTTGACCCAGGCTGGAATTAACCCAACGCAGACAACACGTGGTTTGGATCAAAGTAGGAGATACCAACCACCTCCCTCCTGGAGATGTTGTATTGATTTCTCTTCCCTAGGAAGAATGAAAAAAAAAATTCTACCAAAGGAAATAAGAACAGCTGTGAGGAAGTTAGTACAGGGAGCGATTTTGCAAAAACACAAAGGGGCGGCTGATGAGCCGCCCGTTTTAAAATTCAGTTTTAGAAACTGCCTGGTTGTGTCATGCAAACCCAGTTGACCAGGCCCTTTGAACTGCAGACGGGCCAGATGGTGTTACCCTGACTCTCAGTTCTGTCAATATTTGCTCGTGTTTACCATCCAGCTTCTGTGACTCTCTCCAGCGTTGCGGGCGGGGGTGGGGGGGACCAATCTCTGGTGCTTTGCCAAGTGAGACCCAACCCTGAGTGCCACCTCTCTCAAATACCAGGTGCCCCAACAGCACCGAAGGCTGAAGACGAGAAAGCTCAAGGAATGAAACTAACCTTACCTTCCTCTGACCTTCCGGATCTATGGCTCCCAGCAAGGAGCTGATCCCAGTTACTTCCAAACCTGAGAAAAACTCCAGTCCTGCGGGGACGCTTTGTCCTCATTTGCCAGGCCTGTGCCAGGGTTTCCATCCTGTGGGTCTTTGGGAGGCAGGATTTAGCCTGAGTCCAGAGTCAACCAAATGATTTTCCAAGGGAAATAAGGGAAAAGCTTTGGTCTCGGGAATTAAAACATGCAGAATTGCTTTTGGCCTCTCCTACCTTTTATTCATTTATTCATACATTTATTCGTATTTATTTAATTATAGCAATTAGCTGGTTGTCCGTGCTCCAATGATAAAATTGGGGGTAAAATTCCTCCAAATGTTTAGGTTTTAATGAAATAATATAAAGCATCATAATAAATATAAAGCATAAGGACACAGTAACGTCTTTTTTGGGGGTTTTGGGGGATGTTTTTTTTATTTTTTTTGAGAGAGAGCGTGAGAGTAGGAGGGCCAGAGAGAGAGGGAGAGAGAATCCCAAGCAGGCTCTGTGCTCTCAGCACAGAGCCTGATGTGGGGCTTGATCCCACCAACTATGAGATCAGGACCCGAGACAAAATCAAGAGTTGGACGCTTAACCGACTGAGCCACCCAGGGGCCCCTGGACAGAGTAAGGTCATAAATGTTCTTCTCTTCTCCATCCGTTGTCATTACTTTATGATGATTTGTTCATGTGTTCTCCCACACGAGACTGTTAACAACTCTAGGACAAAGATTGTGCCTAGTGTATTTCTACGTCCTTTCTTGGCACTCCATAATGCAAAGCAGAACTGTCTGCTAAGTAAATCTGAGCAATGCAGTACAAATAAAAAGAACATAGTCATACAGAAACTGTACCACAGCCCCTCAAATCCATACTGATAATGTATCATTTACTGTATATTACCTTTATGATTTCTCCATATCTTATTTTCACTCAAATAATATGTGAATTCCTATAGGGCAAGTACTCTCTATTTTTTGTCTTTTTTTTTTAATTTTTTTTTTTTACGTTTATTTATTTTTGAGACAGAGAGAGACAGAGCATGAATGGGGGAGGGTCAGAGGGAGAGGGAGACACAGAATCTGAAACAGGCTCCAGGCTCTGAGCTGTCAGCACAGAGCCCGATGCGGGGCTTGAATTCACGGACTGCGAGATCGTGACCTGAGCCGAAGTCAGATGCCCAACCGACTGAGCCACCCAGGCGCCCCTCTTTTTTTTGTGTTTTTAAAGTAGACTCCACAGCCAGCATGGAGCCCAACGTGGGGCTTGAATTCACAACCCTGAGATCAAGACTTAAGCTGAGATCGAGTCTGACACTTAACTGACTGAGCCACCTGGGGCACCCCTAGTGCAAATACATTTTACAGTATAATTCTCAGGGGTGCCCGGGTGGCTCAGTCAGTTAAGCATCTGTCTCCTGATTTTGGCTCGGGTCGTGATCTCATGGTTCCTGAGACAGAGCCCTACACTGAGTTCTGCAATGACAGCCAGAAGCCTGCTTGGGGTTCTCTCTCTCCCTCTCTCTCTCTGCCCCCCCCCCCCTTGCACGCTTGCTCGCTCTCTCACCCTCTCAAAGTAAATACACTTTAAAAAAGTGAAGTATAATTCTTGAAAGAGTAAATAACATGATATTCATATTAAGTATAACATGAGTATGTGTCAAAGATTTTGCTCACGAATTAATGAGAGAACCATTAAGAGGCTACAGCTAATTCAAAGAAGAATTTGAGGAACAGAGATTTATGTGTTCAGTCAAAGGCCTTCTGAAGTGACTCTTCTAATCGATGTAAAACTGACTAATATCATACATGGCAACACCCTGTAATATTTGGAATCAGCTTTTCTAACTCCCGGAAATTAATTGAATCTGTCTTCTGGACAAAATTCATTTGCTTTGTTATCAGAATCCTTTGCATTGTTTTCAGAAAAAGAATCATTTGCATTCCAAATTAACCTCTAATCTTATAGAGGTGTAAAAAGACTGATTGACAATCAAAATTTCGCACTCCTGTGAAATTGATAATCCCTGAGAGAGTCTACAAAACAATATTCAGTCACCTACTGAAAAATTTCTCCAGTGATTTCTTTTTGTCTCTTTTGTTAAGCTTTGAGTAATTTTTCTTAACACACTACATATTCTACTTCTTGAGGAATACAAGTTCCCCAGTACCTACTGTATATATTGTTTGTACAATAAATGATTTAAAAAAAACCAGAAAATTGGGGCACCTGGGTGGCTCAGTCAGTTAAGCGTCTGACTTCGGCTCAGGTCATGATCTCACAGTTTGTGGGTTCGAGCCCCACGTTGGGCTCTGTGCTGACAGCTCAGAGCCTGGAGCCTGTTTCAGATTCTGTGTCTCCCTCTCTTTCTGCCCCTCCCCTGTTCATGCTCTGTCTCTGTCTCAAAAATAAACATTAAAAAAAATTTTAAAAAAACAAAATTTTGTTTCCTCCTAAAATTAGGAATTTGTTTATTCCTAAATGAGAAATTCCTAAATACCTAAGAAAATAGAGCATTATTACAGGAAATAATTGCAAGTAATTCTTCATCTCAATGGTTTATTTCAGATGCATATTAGGGCTTCAGAAAGGCACTATATTATTTAGAATACTGTTTTACTAATATTTCTCTATGCAATGAAAAAATATTTACACTAAGTGAGATATATAGAGATTACAAACAACCTCACAAAGTTTAGGTCCAATTTTCCTGTCAAATAAATTAGAAGAGAACTTTGTTTTCAAAGCTTTTGAATTTTAGGATTACATATAAGGGAATACAGGACTGCATGTTTTATTATGAGCATCTGAGCTTAGAAAAATTAATGAGAATCCAGAAACCCTTCTAGACCTTTGGATGTTAAGGACAGTTTGATCGAATCCAGATTGTTTTCTGGAGAACGGGGCTAACAGGTCAAGTGCAGAAGTAGTACTGACTGGCTAGCTTGCTCCACAAAAGAATGGGCTGACAGTGATTAGTAGAAGACATAAGGAGGTGAGCGGGGATGTCAGCCAGGGAGTTGTGGGAAGTTAAACTGTTGTGTGCGCGTGAGGTTTCAAGAAAATTGGGAAACAACATTTCGAGAAGTTCTCTGGTATGTTATGAGTGGATTCCCTTTGGTCTTTGTCATGATAATTCAGAAAAGGTATAAATGCTTCTCCACCTTTTTTTTTTTTTTTTAAATATATATCAAGTTGATGTCTCTTGAATATCTCGCCAAGAAAAACCTGGGCCAGAGAAGTAACCTTTACGCAGAGTACGTGAGAATAAAACGAATATAAATTTCTTTAAAGGTCTAATTGTTCATGAAACATTGTAGAGTAAGCATTGGCGGGAAGTCAAATGAGAGACTTCGTGTGACCTCTGTGCTCCTTCCTGTTGGTGACCATGTAGGCAGGATTCCGGTAGCTCCCCAATAGCTATGTGGTACTGTTGGGGTAGAATCATTTTGATGATAATGTTAACTTCACAGAAGGACAGAGGGGCAGAAAGTCCTGGATGACTGGGGAAGCTCCACTCCAGTCCTAGACTGTTTCTTATCTCCACACCCCTTCTCTCCACACTTCATTGTGGATGAAAGTAACCTTCTGTCACAGGTAAGGTGATGTTCTCTGGGGTTTGCTGGCACCTTCTAATCTGAAACACTGACGAATCCAAGAAAATAAGGGTCTACCAATGTTTGAGTAAAATGACCCAGGAATTTAAATTCAGAGAAGAATGTTTAATAGACCTTATTAGGGGCGACGGGGTGGCTTCGTCGGTTAAGCGACCGAGTTCGGCTCAGGTCATGATCTTGCGGTTCCTGAGTTCAAACCCCGTGTCGGGCTCTGTGCTGATGGCTCAGAGCCTGGAGCCTGCTTCGGAGTCTGTGTCTCCCTCCCCAACTCATGCTCTGTCTCTGTCTCTCTCTCAAAAATAAATAAACATTAAAATTAAAAAAAAAAAAATAGACCTTACTAAGTTACGCCCAGAGACTGTTTCCCTTTCCAGCCATAAATTCTAAAAAGGCAATGGACAAAAGAGGAGAGAACCTGGCAAATGAAAACTGAATGTAAACAAGAACATAAGAGGTTCACTAATGAAGAAAATGCAAATGGACGAAGAAGCTGTTGTTCTCTGCAGGCTGTGTGGTTGAAGGCACGACATGCTTTGAGGCGAGGCTCTATGAGATCTGCAACACTGCTTCCCAAGGGTTCCTGTGCTTGTGAAATTATTTAATTGCAAGGAGAAACTGGTCTCTTGAAGGTGACCTAGTTGTCGCGGGCAAGGTGCCGCATAATACCAACAGGGTAGGTAGGTGCCCTTGGGAACGGGAACGGAGCTCTGAAGTGAGTTGCCCTGCCTGTGGTGATGAGCAGTGGGGCATCGGCTTCACGGAAACAAAAGGAGACAGACTATGCACCTTGAGGTTAAGAAAAAGAAAACATCACACACCCGGGG